TTAAGGGAGCATGTTTGTAATTCCTTCAATCAAATTAAAGAAAAAGATCACTTTAGTAATGCATACAAGATTTTTTATAAGTAGGTCAATTGCCTCCTTGATGGTACACTGTGTAAACATCAAAAACTAAAGAAACTAGATTGTTCATTAGATCTGTCAAATATAGAAACTCGATATTCTTACTTGTATAACCGATTTTTGAATAGATGATCTCAGCTATATCAAATCACATCATGTGCACGATATGAAGAATTAAGTTGATTTTCTATGGTTATAGTTTCTTACTAAAATTCTTTCTTACACCAAATATACTCTTATATATTTCATTAAAAAAAAGAATTCTTTAAAAATACGAGCTCATAAGCATTTAAAGACACATGGAAAGGGTTCATTATTGGCAAAAATGATATAACAAAATGAGGTATAGTTTTGTTATCGACAAGGAGCTGTTGTGTAATAGCCTTACGAATATAAAATTGCTCAGACCAATCTGCAACAATAGGAATAGCGTGATTAAAGAGATATTTTTGCATTGGGTCTTAGTCATATATAATTTAAATAGCATTCATATATTCTTCTATGCCTTTCAAGTTATTTTCAACAAAATTGAAGAGGATAGTATTCTGTATATGCTGATTACTAACCTTTCTTGCTAGTTTATCATTATAATTGTGTACTAATAATCTGTCTATAACCTCATCATCAGAGCACCTATTTCCTATACTATTATGCCTATGATCATAATATGAAATACCAAAGTTTATGATAAATTGTGCTTCAAGATGTCTTGAAATCAATTCGCTATTAATACTTTTTGAATTGATTGCTCCATTTCGTGATATTGCAAAAATTGGATATGGATTTACAATTATTGTTATCATATGCGTCATCTAAGATGTACTAGTAGTATTAGGTTATCTTTAAACATGAATATTATAATAATCGTTTATGTTCAGAATAAACAAATCCTCTGAGTATTTTGCAAGAGCTTTTCTACATATTTCTCATATACATCAGACATTCTTTTTTTGCGATTTATTGATCTCAACATTGTAAAAACACTAAGATTAGCCATTGTATTCAGATCTTTATTGCTTGTATCTACTAAATCTAAATAAAATCCAAGGTCGAATTTAAGCGAATTAATTTTCGTATTATTCAATAAAGCAAGTAAATGACATATCAACACTATCAATTTCTTCATACAGCTTATTATTTACTCATTATGTTTAAGTAGCTGAGCTGTTAAATAAAGCTGATCAAAGAAATCCTTTAAACTCAGTTCAATTTCTTGAAATATTCTTCTCATTTTGTCAAATAAATATATTAGTTCTTCTTTCTTGAAATATTTTCTTTCATAAAAGATTTTTGCTATTTCTTAGCAGCTCTAGAGAAATCAATCTTTATATTTATCTTTTTGTCTTCGTTCATAATTCTTACTCACTTGAGACCTTTCTTTAGAGGATTTTTTACTAGCTTCATATAACAAATATTACATAAAAGAATACCTTCCTTCTATGTTACCTTTACTAGATCATTATTTTCAACTTCTTTCCATTTTCCTCTTTTTAACGAACAAAATTTGGTCAAATTAATAATTTTGTATTCTGCACATTACTTTGTTTCAGACATGTCTTTAGTAAGTAATAGTAATGTAAAAGCGTGAGATTAATAAGGATTAAATAAATATATTGCAATTTGGTGCGAATGCTTTAAGTTTACTTAATGCATTTGCTCAGGGTTTTATGCGAAGGTAGATCACATAAGCTACTCAGAAAAGTATTGTAAAATGTATAAAAAAATTTAATAAATTGTGTAACTAATTTCCTTATATGGGACAATTCCTCCTGTAATTTGAAAGTAAAACAAAAAATTTTCTTAATTTAGAATTATATGAGGCTCCTTAATATCTTAAAAAGTTAACAAAAATCCTGTTGAAGAAATTTCATTTATTGATGATAAATTTTTCAATAACATCTGCAGTATTATTAGATGCAAAAAAGCACGTTAAAAAGGTGATTATATTGAAAGAAGTATCTTTCGCATTAGGATCACGTGATTGGCTGAGTTTATTTATATTGTTTTTTACTTGATTAGCCTAAGGAAGTTACTTATTTTTTAGGGATTAGCATCCCTAGTTCATTTGGTAACAACTGAGCTCCTATTGTGGGTTATACTGCAATAGCTACAGGTTCAAGTCTCAGCTGAAGCATAAAACTAAATAACTTTTATAAAAATTTCATATGTAACTAAATATGTGGGTGTATATACTAATATGCGTTAGAAACTGGTCGATCGATCTGTCGATCGATATTGATCATGCTTAAATACTGGATTTTGAAGAATAAGTGAATGTATATGAAGTTAGAGATCAACAAAAACTTGGCCTTCGCTGATAGACCTGTAATGGGTACTGTCTCACGTCTTCAAATTCAGGGGCCCTTACACAGGTAAGGAAGTGGTTAACCAGTAATTAGTAGATTGAGTACTACTTACGGGTGGCTATGGTGATAATAGACTGCATTGTACTGCCGCAGCACTATTCAATCAAACTGTTACTAGGGGTAGAGGTCAGGTTCAATTCCTGAGTGAATTTGACGATATGGGTATGATAGCCACCTACCTTTCTGAGATTCTATAAAATAAAAATAATGTTTAAGCCTTCCCGATCATGTGTAAAAATACCCTAATACCGGATAGAGGTAATAGTGATCCAGATATGGTGTTGGTAAGCACTAGAAAAATCTGACAAAAGTACCTGTGGCTGAAAATGATCCCTCTATCCAAATTTGACAGTGGTTCTGAGGTTTAGGGACCCTGAGGGCTAGCTCTTGGGGAGTCGATCTAAATGGCAATCTTCAGACCAATATCACAGGGTGAGTTTTAACTAGAACTAATGTATCTAGTCACGACTTTGAGAAAAACGTAGGATGAGTCAAGGGTCACCTCAGTAGTACCATCTGTATAATGATTTCTTGTACCAGGTATTGAAACTTTAAAAAAAAAGGAAGTTGCTTATTTTTTTTAATGGTAAGAATAGATGAAGATAGAGTTTTATCATTCGTAAAGTCTTTTACATATATAGAATTATTGATATTGAAGCCTTGTGAAGAGAAAAATGAGGTTTTCTTAGAATTATCTATTTCCATTTTGTAGATGTCTGAGTCTTCAAAACAAAGATTTTATGAAAGTAATAGGAACTGTTTGCGTAGTTACTGATGTGAGTTGAGTAATATTTAGGACTTCTATAATTATAGGAGTAATGTTAAATTTCAGGGTTTTAATTTTTTGTCTTTTCGTAACTTTATTAACATTTTCATCATTTTTATTCTTTCTGTTGTTGTTGAAGGTAAAGATACTGTATTCTTTACTATTATCTAAAAAGTTAAGAGCACTTTTATTATAAGATTCTGGTTTTTTCTGTATATACTTTGTCTTCTAGTTGTTAGAGACATTTGATCAAGAAGATTGGTGAAAAGAGTCTTATTTTCTTATAATTATTAGATAATAAGTTATTTTAAAAAATTGAAAAATTGAAAAATTAATATATATTAATAATTATTAATTTAAAAATTTAACAATACTATCATTAGATAGATCTTAATATGACAAATTTAATAAGCTTCATTTCATTTTTTTTTTAATCACTAGATATTAAAATATTATAATTTTTCTATAATATTTTATAGCCAATTTATACCTACACTTTAAGGAATAAAGTAAATTTAAATAATAAAAATTATGCTTAAATATCTTTTTATTTATTGAATTATTATCAATAATAATATATTTCATAAATAAAAAATTTTTTTAATGATATAATTTATTAATATGATTAATTTAAAATAAATAATTAAATGATAAAAAATTGATTGATAATAAACATTACATTTTTAATCAAATCAAAATATAACTTTTCCTAAAGCGGCAGATCACCATAACCATCTAAGAGGAATCTAGATAATTCACTTTCTTAATGTGATTTCATTTATAAATAAGGCCTTTTTATTCAAAAACTTCAATTATAGAGAATTGTGGGATTTCATCAAATATCATGTGATTTGTTGTTGCATCTATCAAACCAGTTAATAGATATTATCTATCACACATACACGATTTTTCAACCCAATTTTTTAACTTTTACAAAAATGTCCTATAAATCCACAAATGTTCGTCAAAGTCATGCACAACGTGCAAACAATTTTCGCTTTCAAAAAAATAAAGTTGTAGAAGCACAGCTCAAAAAAAGAAGAATAATTGTGGACGATCGTACACAAGCTTATTAGAAGAGATATTAACAAAAACAAAAGCTTATGAAGGAAGGATGTAAAGGAAATAGGGACAAGAAACTATCATTTGGAACTTGCTTTGAGAAGATATAGATAGGGTTTTAATTTGGATTCGCCGGGCGGATAACCGTTATGTTTCAACTTGTTAAACTTATTAATATATCTTTTTCAACCTGACGTAACTCTGTGGTTTTCAGACACGATTAAAATACCATCATCATTGTCGTTCACTTCATCAATATTTTTACAATTAGATGAAGTCTAGCAAGAATTAGATACTACGTTTGGTCCATATTCTGAGGACCGGAATAATCTGTATTTTATCTAAAAACAAATAGATTATTCAAGTTTACTTTGATATCATTCAAGATGTAAAAGCTGGGTTTTAAAGAAAAAAAAATAGATCGACGGTCACGATGTATTATTTACAATATTAAAAGAATTTGCTTGTATTGATTATAAACGTATCAAGTAAATTTTCTATATAAAGTAAAACTTTAAGCAATAGTAAAAAATTAAAAAATTATTTTTTATCAGGATCTTTTTTTTTTTGGAAAGCGTAGTAAAGAATGATAGTCTAAAAGGCATTCAATAATAAAAATCAAGTTCTTTAAATAAGATAATTAATAATACTAATAAAAGTAATAACAATTAGAAATACATATAACAAATCTTCACACAAACTAGTTCATCTTAATTATAAAATAAAATCTACACATGAACCTTTAGACCAGCGGCATTAGCACCAATTTGTGATACATCACACACAGTACAAAGTTTACCTTGATGTTCGGTTAAATATGATGCATGACAATATGGACACTCTACCGAAGGACTACCTTTGTAGATAGGTGTATATGATTTAGCACAAACTACAAATGGATTGTATTGGTCATAATCTAAGGTAATTTCATCATTTGGAGTTTTATCTGTGATTTTTTGAATCTGACGAGCCTATTGATATGATAAACGAAGGTTTAACGATTAATTAATAGTTCTAAAAAGAGGTAAGCAATTCTTTTGAGAACTTTACATACCGAAGTGGCAACCTGTGGTGGCGGTGCTAATTCTAATAATCGTCTAGCGAACATTGAAGCCGTTAAACAGTTTTTTGCTTTGAAACTTAATGTCATTGCAGACCGCAGACTTAGTTGTAAATGAGCTGGCTGTAATTGACAATGAGTAAAGTACGCTGCTAATTCTAAAGCGCGCTTTGTATTTTCTGGGTTATCTAATGTAAATTTACGGCGTGCTTGTTCCATTGAGAGACCAACAATATATTCACGACATACTTCAATGAGTTGATGTACCTACAAGTCGAAATTTTATTTACTTTATTAGTATCCTTAATGGATTAATGATTTCGTAAAAAAATTATTCATACCTCATCAACTTCTGATTTTTTGGATACCGCAATTAATAAAATCGAATGAATGATATTTTTGAATTGTATTGTAGAATCCTGGAATTTACCAGCAGTAGTTGTCTTATAAGCATCTTGTAGATGTACCGAAATGATTGTTTGAAAGTTACATGGGAGAATAGGCAACACCCTACGGGTCTCTGTTTCTTCAGGATTTCGTCTAATATGATATACCAGAGGTGGAAGAATAACATTACAAGGTAAATATGTTCGGGTTGCTTGAAAAGTTTTCAAAAAGTGTGATTTTAATGGTTCAAAATTAACCGCGCCAACTTGTCTGTTAAGAAGCTATTATAATAAACAATGGAAATAATATTAACATTGTATTTTTATAAAATAATCCCATTAAATAAATCCATTACCTGCATAGCAGTTTCGAATGATCCAGCGGCAACATGATCAGCAGCTAAAGGAGAATTTTTTATCCATAATTCGGATTCATTAGTACCTGAAGTTGGAGGTACAAATTCACTCTGTGCACCATTAGCAAGTTCTTGGGCAATTTCTTTGTCAAGTTGAACATTGAGGTCAGCGTCAATATCCCATCCAGATCCCTCTTCGAGGACATCACCTTCAGTTCGTTGATCATCAACCTTTTCACTAACATTGAATCCGAGATCGTCATCACCTCCCCAATCTCCTCCAATCTCATCAATGCTTTCATTAGCATCGGCGAAAGTGAGAGGGGCAGCAATTGAATTATTATCAGGGTTAGTAAAGGCGCTATCAAAGAATGAACGTGATACTGTTAATAATGGCCAATTAGAATCATTATGTTTAACTATTGGTGTAGGAGATTTAAGTAATTGTCCAGGTGCTGGCAAATCCGTAATATCTTCAACATTGAGTCCAGCAGAAACCAAAATTGATTCAGCTTCTTCCGTGAGACCATGATTATGAGCGGTAAGATATGCCAATGGTACTAAGAATGTAATATTAAATTAATTATTGAATTATAATTAAAACGTTAAAGGTAAAATGAATGTAATGATATAATACATTGACCGACTTCCTTTAAAAGTCGAATACGCTCTTCAACATCACCCAAGTATAGTGAATTATGGAATCTAGACATATTATCATTTCGTAACTCGGCAATCTTTAACATCTTTCTCAATTTCTCGCCATTACCGGTTACCAAGTATAAAAACGAAAGGCGATCAAAATTTTTAATCCTTTGATATGCCATTTCAACGACCTAAAAACATTAGATATAAATTATATGTGCATATCATTTGCACGCAAATTATAATCACTACGAAATTACAAACCATATGATTGCCTTGACGTAATGCTTCAGCGCCTAATTTATTCCAACAATCATCTCGATCCATCGCTTTTGCGGTTTCCAATGCAACTTCGATATTGCCGCATTCCAATGCAAGATCAAATCGAGTTTTATGATCTCTCACAAAATGTAAAGCGATCTTACCGAAAATATATTAATCGCAAAGTTTAGTTCATAATTTAAAAAATATCATAAAAATATATGTAAATACCTCTGGATATCCCTTTTTTTGTAAATATGCAATAATAGCCTGCCCAACCAAGTTCGAGTTGCGGATAATTTGCAGTACCTCGTCGTAATTGCGCTTTATGAGTGCAAGTTTGAATCGATATTCTGTTGGATCTATGCTAATTACACGTGTCTTACCATCTCTGTCTAGGCAATGAACGTTCTTGCTTTTAACTTTGGTTAAATACACTGGCTGATCAAGAGTACGGATAATACCATTATCACTAAATTGAAAATTGACGTGAATATTTCGTTTAAGATTACAATACAATACCTCATTATTTCTTACCCTTGTGGAAGAGCATATTTGATATGATTAAGAGTGGAATATACGAATATACCCGCATCTTCCCATGCACCACTTTTGATTCTAATTGTTTCATGAATCAAACAACTTTGTTCTAAATTCTTGTTAGCGATGGTTATCGCTATGAAAAAATGTGAACAAAGAGAATGAGAATAAATTACCAACAAAAGTAATGTAAAATATATTTTAAAAACCTACTATGTTTGCTTAGGAGAGCCACTTGGTTATTATCAGAAGACCATACAACATATTTGACGGGAGGTGTATTGATTTCGGCAACGGTTTGACGTTGTTGAATGTCATACAAAATAACTGAAGTAGACGTGCTAAGAAGTAAAAGGTTACTACTACCAGCACTAAATATCTCATTAACAGTTGCCGGAGGTTTAACCGATTTTGTTGTAACATTTGACAAGTCACGGATTTCAATTTGCTAGAATAATGAAAAAATTGATTCATAAGTCGATTCGATCAATATTACATATTATTATTAAAATAAATAATTACCTGACGCGTCTTATCAAGAACTGCAAATCGATTTCTAGCGATGAATATTGCTGAATTACCAGTACCGCGTTTACCATCCGTCGAGGCCTCTCGTGGTTCGCCACTAAAATCTTTGGGTAAATGAAACAAATCGAACGTACCACCGTCCGTAGGCTGAAATATGAAGTAGCCTATTTCGTCAATCTTTCGGATTCAATACAGTAATACAAACTAGCCAATCACGTAACTGACCGTTGTGATTATAACAGCACGCTCGGCAGGATTAAACGACAAAGCCCGTGGATGAACATATTGACCACCAATTTTTCGTACAGAAAGTACTGATACGTCTGATGCATTGGCGAAATCAAAAACACGCAAATATTTGTCCTTGATATAAAACAAATTGTTTTGATGTACAGCATATGCTGGACGCTCCCTTTCAAGTTTAAATACAATAAGACCATTGTCATGACCTTGAACATGAAAAATATATAGTCAAATCTGAGTTGGAATACTAAAATTGTTACACGTATAAACAAATAAGACTCACCGGCCGCAAATAGATTTAATTCAGGATGAGCTGTCAAAACCCAGAATCTATCATGTTCTCGTCTAAAAGTTTGGACAAGAGTTCTTTTTGACACATCCCAAACACGAATTGTTTTATCCTCAGCGTCAGAAATAATCAACTCCTGTCTGGGATGAAAGAGAGCAGCGGATACATTATTAAAATGACCACGACAGGTATCAACTTCCCAGGCTTTAGTATCTAGAATAGAAATGTAACGTTAATAACCTTGTAACAAGTAATATTATAAACAAAACCCAATAATACCATTCATTCGCCATAATTTTATTTGACGGTCATCTCCAGCTGATACAATTAAAGGAAGAGTAGGATGGAAAGTCGCCCAATTTACACCACGATCATGGCCTTCTAAAACATATTTAACAATCGCGTCTGTGCTGCCAAAAATATCAGCTTGGGTCGCAGCTGATCTATGCATACTATCTTCAAACGACATAGAACTAGGTGCTGCATTCTTTTTCCTGAGGCCTGAAATACAATTGAAATTCTTATAATATATATTAGGACATTCGATAAATACCAACGATTAAAAGGAACAAATACCTGAAATATCCCAAACTCTTACAGTTTGATCTAAAGATGCAGATACAACTAAATCTTCTTTTGGATGAAATTGTGCACACATAACGTAATGATTATGACCTGTCAGAATCGCAATGCAATTTCTTGACTGCCAATTCCAAATTCGAATCGTTTGATCATCAGAAGCACTAAGGATCCAAGGGTATTCGTGATGAAAGAAAACAGTTCGAACATAATCCAAATGCCCATTCAAAGTAAATAAGCATTTACGAGTTTTATAGTTCCACACTTTAATCTTATAATCATCGCCACCTGATACAAATAATGGCTGTGTTGGATGAAAAGCAATTCCGCGAACAGGACCTAAATAATGAAGTGAATTAGTTAGTTTGATTCAAATGGCATGATGATTCTCTAATCGGGCGTGCTAACGTACCATCATGTTCATCAAATCGTTCCAGAAGAGTTCCCATACGATAATCCCATAATTGTATACAACCATTGTGAAGGGAAGCAAGAATCCATGGACGTTTAGGATGAAATGCGATTCCTTTGACACGATTACTTTTTGACTCGAACTAATAAAATGTAAAGTTTTAGCATAGTATAGAAATAAATCTATGAAGCTTATGACCAAGCCATAAAACGAATTCTAAGCTGTGCTTGAATATTCACCTTTGTTAACATCTGCATATTTTGAATTTTATTATTTGGATATTAAAAACTATATTAATGAACGGTCGTCGCGATCTACACAAAAATAATTCCCAAGTCCGTATCCCAACAATTACTGGGATGAAACTTTTAAAATGAATATCATTTCAATTTCTCGAAAAAAAAAATTTTTTTCGGATAACTTGTTGGCTATTAGAAATGTATTCATTTTTGATTGGTTGTGATTACAATTAGAATATAACCAATCAAAAGCTCAAATATTAGCGCCGCAGCTATCCAATTTAGACTTCCACTGCGTAACCTTCAAAAAATGTCACGAAATTTCACGTGATATACTTTGTCACCGGTGTCACTTCCCTCCGCGTTTTCATTTTTACTAAGTATTATGGGGACAGAATTTTTTCGGTAGTGAAATCCAGCCAAATGCCGTGATGCTGGCCATTTCGTGACATTTTTTGAAGGTTACGCAGGGGAAGTCACCAATTTAAGTCGCGTGTATATACTGTATTTTGTATATTTGAAAATTTTGTAATTATTTTTTGATGTTCATATAATTAATTTGTATACATTATTATGTACCTCAATATAAAGAATAGTTTAGTTTAAAATGATCTTCGATATTGACTAAACTTAAACAAGTTAAGTGTCTAACATTTAATTTTACACTTATTTCTTAAATACTCTTCCAAATAAAATTTACTTATATTTATATTTTTAATCATATAAATTTGTAATTTATAATATTTAAACATATAAATAAAATTTAATTATTATATTTAAAATTATTTTTTATAATTCAATTTTAATTTTATAATTAAATAAAATATTAAAATTTATAATATATAAAAATAAATATAATTCTGATTATAATAATTTAAAAATTATAATAATAATAAAATAAATTTAAATAACACACTATGCATTCAATGTATTTATACTTAATGTAATATATAGTTTTAAATAACTAACCTTAATTTATCTTAATTTGAATCTTATATTACAAATGAAGATAGTAGCTGGATAAGGTTACTTGTTTAAACTCATTTTGTATTTAACAAAATATTTAAAATTTAGTTTTACTAATTTTTTATTAAGATTTTAATATAATTTTGCATTTTAATAAGCTTTAATATAGTTTTTTACATTTTCTAGAATTTTGCAAATTTTTTAATAAAGTATTAATATAATTTACTAAATTTTATTTTTTTCTATTTAAACAATTTGCAAAACTTCTATATTTTATTTAGCAATCTTAAGCTATAATAAATAACAAGTAATAAATAGGATTTTACATTAAAAAAAAATTAAATTCTTAAATTATATAATCAAAAATAAAATTCTAAAGGATATAAAGCAATATAATAATTTTTTATATAAATTATATATTAAAATAAGAAAATTAAATAATTCTAAATAATTCTAAAAATTCTAAGAAAATTACAAAATATTATTTTTACAAATTTATTATAAAATTTGTCTATTATGATATTTTAATAGCTACTTAATAAAAATAAATAATAAATCCTTTTGAAATTTTAGAATTTCTTAAAAATTAAAATTTTAGGATTCAGAATTAGATTTTTAAGACCAGTTTATATTTAGCCATTCTATTAGAATTGCTAATTTTGAATATTATTTTTGTTTTTTATAAATTAATTATGATATTTTTTGATAGAATCATTTATTATAGATAAGTGATTAAACTTTCTAGAATTAGTAATCTCTTAAATTATAAAAATTAATTAAAGATCACTTAATATTTTTATTTAAAAGTATATCAAATGCACAAATATACCTTTTAAAATTTTCCTAAATAATATATATATTTTTTAGAATTTTATATTTATATATTTATAATTTATATATAAATTTATAATAAAATTTATTAAATATAAAAAAATTTTTTAATTAAAATAATAATATTTATAATCAATTAATTTAATTATATTAATAATACTAAAATTATAATATTATTTGAAATTATATTAATTATATAATATTAATAATATTATAATCAGATATTGATTTTAATGATTATAGATTTACAAATAAGTAATAAAATACAGAATATCAAAAATGTTAAATATATTAAATATGTTTAATATATTAATATAATTAATATGTTTAATATATCTGATATATTTAATATAATTAATATAACTTATATAGTTATATAGTTAATATAATTAATATGTTAAAATATATAATAGAATAAGTATAAATATAAGCTCTTTGTAAGTTAAAAAAGACAGACTAATAACTTTATAAAATTTCTCTTATGTAATACTACTCTTTAATTTTGTGTATTTTTCTTATTTATTTTCTTTTCTTATATTTATTATTTCTTATTATTTTCTTATTTTTTATATTCAATAAAGTATTTCTTATCTTTCTACTATAAAATTCTTTATAACTACTATAATAATCTACTCTATAATTAAAGTCACTCATATTTAGTACATTTAATAAAATTTAGTAAAATTAATAGTAAGATAATTGAGATTAATATCAAATTTTATTGGAATTTATATATAAACTATAAAAAAGTTGATCCTTTGATATTATATCTAATAATCTAATAAACTTTATTTCATCTTTTTATAATCACTAGATATTAAAATATTATAATTTTTCTATAATATTTTATAGCTAATTTATACCTATACTTTAAGAGATAGTAGCGGTCATAGTTGCAATATAAAAAGATTGCATATTAATAATATAAATAAAATTATTTAAAAAATTAAAAATAATAATTATATATAAAAGATATTAATAAGTTTTTAAATATTATTTATTAAAAATTATATTATTTATTATTTTTATTATATTCTTTAATATTATAAATTATTTTATAAATAAAATAAAAATTAATTTGAAAAATAAAAAATTTAGTATAATAAAATAAAAATTTTATATTATATAACTAGATATATTTATATTAAATTTTTTATTTAATAAAATTATTTTTAATTATCTTATAATTGTTTATTTTTTTTAAAATAAAAATAAAAAAAAGAAAATTTAAATTATAATTATTTAATAAATAATTTTAATTTTTAATTTATTAATTAATTATTTACATATTTATATATTAAAATAATATACAGTGAAACCTCCATAAATGCATTCTTTATAAATGCACACTCTATGTAAATTCTCTCTAAATATATAGTAGGCTTTGGTTCTAACTCATAAGAGCTCTTAATATTTTATTCTCTATAAATGCACATCCTCTTTAATTGCACATTTTACTATTTTTTTATTATGGTCCCAAGGGGAGTGCACTTATAAAGATATCACTATAATATAATTTTATTTTTAATATTAATAATATTTTAATTAATTAAAATTATATTTAAAATAATAATTATTTATTAATTAATTGGTATATATTATTATATAATTTTAATTTAAAATTAATAAAATTTTTTAAAAAATAAATCTTAATTTTTTAATTTTATACTTTTATATATATATATATTTTTATTAATATTTTTTATATACTAATATTTATTTATTTATTTATTATTTTTTAATAAAAATTTAAATATGAAATTGTAAAACTTATAAAAATAAATTTTTAAAGAATATATAAGATTATACATTAGTATTAGATTTGTTTTCAATTATTTTAATATCTAAATTAAAAGACTATGACAGTTAATTCTCTATATTAGAGTTTCAGATCTTAAAATTTTTTCTAAGTCATACAGGCATCTATTATATTTGAATTAACTTAGCAATTTATTATATCTTAGAATTTAAGATATATTTAATTAAACTCATAATGACAAACTTAATAGCAAGTTAGTGTAAAATATCATAATAAATCTTAAATAAAGGATAATATTAAAAGGAAAATAATTTATGTAAATTTAAATTGATTTCTTTATTTATAATACTGAAACTCACAAAAGAGTTAATTTACAACTTAAGCAAAAGCTATTCTATTTATACAAAATTAATTTACTATAGTTAACTACTTATTATGCTAGGTTTTGCAAGTTATTGAAATAAAAAAGGTAGATTTAGCAAAATTATATTAAAATCTTATTAAATAATCTGTGAAATTCTGAAAAGATAAAATTATATCAAAGCTTATAAAAATGCAAAACTATATTAAAACCTTAGTAAAAATTTAGTAAAATTATAGTTTAGATATTTTGCTAAATCTAAAATGAATTTAAATATGCAACTTTAGCTATAAACTAATTATTTTAGTAAATTTCAACTATAAAATAATTATAAAAGAAATAAATAAAAAGATAAAATATAAGTTAAATAATAATGATAATAAAATAAAAGAAATAATAAAATAATAAATATGTAAAGAATTTAATAAAATAAGCCAATCAAATAAATCAGATTAATCAGATAAATTTTGTAAATCCTATAAATTAAATAAATTAGTTTGATTTTTTAATACAGTATGTCAATCAAATTCTTCCTTAATATAATCTACATGAAATTCAATTTATAATTTTTATAAATTATTTTTTTAGAATAAATTTTTAATATTAATAATATATATTTTTAATTAATAATTATTTATATAGGTTTAGATTTACAAATTTGTATTTTAGTTATATATTAATGTTTAATTTGATTTTAAAGAAAATCTGACTTCTAATATAAATATAATTCTAAAAAAAAAGTTTTAATTATTTAGATTTAATAGTTATTAATATAATAAATATATATTTTTTGATATTATAAAAGATATTTAATATTCTAATTATTATCTTTCAATATTTTTAATAAGAATTAATATCTTTAAAAATACCTATATAATTTTTGTTTTTAGATAATAATTATATATATACTTTTTAAAAATACAATAGCGGTTATAAGTATCTGACCACCTGAGATCGTTTAAAATTATTATATAATTACCCTTTAAATTTTCCAGAAATATAATATAATATAATACATGATCACCTGTAAATTTATAAGTGTTAATGATATAAAAAAATATTTAGATGATCATCAAACTTTTGCTTGAAAAATGTAATTTT